AATTTGAGATTAGGTTTATGATATTGGTAGGAACTGTCCAAGAGAGAACTTTTGTATAATAATTGTTTTAGCGTTCTATTATCTTGTAACACATTGTCCCAAGCACAGTGACTTAAAACATCACACACTTTTTAATTAGTCTCACCCTTTCTATGGATTGGGAATTTGGACAAGACCCCTATGGGCCCTCTTTTTAGGGGTCTCACATGCATACAATCAACACAGACCGACAATGTCTGTGTTCTCATCTGGAGGTTACACGAGAAAATAATCCAGTTCTAAGCTTTTAAAGCTGTTGGCAGAATTCATTTCCTTGTGGTTTTATGACTGCAGTTCCAGGATTTGGTTGGCAACTTTCTGGAGGCTGCCCTCAGATTCTAGAGGCCAATTGTAGTTCTTTGCTATGAGGGCATATTCATGTATCACATCTACTAAAATAGATTTACCTAACATAATATAATCATGGGAGTGATGGCCCACCTGGTTTTCCATATCGTATGCACTAGAAGCAAGGTCCAGCTTGCACCAAAGGAAGTTTATTAAACACCAGGAAAAGAGACATTATTGCAACAGAATTTATTTGCCACAGGAAAAAACAACTCCCTAAACTGAAGTAATTTACAATTCATTTCTTGCTTATGTCACATTTTGGTGGCTACAGAAACTACTGTGATGTCATTATAAATGTCTTATCTCAACACACAGGCTAAGAGAGCAGTTTCTCTTTGGGAGATATCACTAGTGCAGTAGAAGGAAAGGGGCAAGAGAGATGATTGAGATTGATGATCCTTTTAAAACAACTGCTAAGATGAGTTCATTCACATTTCATCAATCGGAAAACATCACATAACAGTTAAGAAGAGACATGCAATACTCTTGACAGTGAAGGAAAGAACAACCATTTGAAAACAACAGGACAATCTACCAGACTTTGAAATAAAGATATTAGGAAATATTTCATGATAGTCATACAACTGAAAATTTATGCAGTGTGTATAAAATATTCAAATGTTTCCAAGTAGAAGAAATCTATTCAATATAAATTTAAAGTTTTGGTCAATTTCAACCTTTGTACTTTCACCATTTTAACATTCTTACATTATGTTTGACTATCCCAAACCACCATTCAAATATTAATTTTTTTAAAAATTCATCTGATGATGAAGACACTTCCATTATTTTGAATAGAATCACTGCCTATTAATGACCAATAGATATTTAAAGTATTTTGCAGTCTTTGTTTAGCAGTATTTACCTACACAAGATCTTAATATTTGTTATTTTAAGGATTATATAAAGTAACATGGAAATTAATGTAATTTTTATTTTCAGATTTTATAAATTTAATATAGTTAAAGCAAAAAAAATACAACTGGGAATGCCGGCTGGGCATTCAATGTGAAAGTTAATTAAAAAGTTTAAAGTGTAAAGAATATACTTAAAAGGAAGGTTTAATCAATTATTTCCTTTGTATGGTTTTGGTCTTCAGGACCTGTACACACTTCCCAAATTATAATCTGTTTGATTGACTTTTGTACCTATAATTAATCTAATTCATTTACTTATTCAACAAATACTTAGTGAATACCTAGCATGCAGTAGTTATTGTTCTAGATTCTGGAGACAGGGCATTTAAAAACATTTTAAAATTTCTGACTTTTGGAGAATAAAGTTTTGTAGTAAAAGATAGCAAGTGTCTAATCAGAATGTGTCAGATAATGTCAATGTATAAGAAAAATATAAAATGTGAAAATGGATAGGAAAAGTTGCAGGTAATTGGAATTTCATGTAAGGGTAAATATAAAAGGACTTACTAAAAATATGGCATATGAGTAAAAGACCTTAATGAGGTAATAGAGAAGACCATTCCAATATTTAGGGGAGAAAGATGCCCTGCAAAGGATTCAGTGAGTGCAATATTATATGGTGAGATGCTAGTAGAAAATCAACAAGTGCTGTTGGACCCAAATTGTATAAAATGAATTGAAGCTTTTGATGTGGAACAAATAAAACCTACCCATTTGGAAAATGTATCTGACAGTAACATATGAGATGTTGTCACAGGAGGGCAGAATCAGAAAATCCAGTTATAGATTTTTCATTAAAGTTTTTGGTAATCTGGGCAAAAGATAAAAAGTTGTAGCAAACACTGTCAAATGGGTGCTGAAAACCTTTGCTCCCTTTTTCCTTCTGGACAACCAACTTGATTGCCATGTTTCCTTCTTTGCATCCCTTAATTAGAAAGATGGCCATTCCTTAAATCTAGGGTTAAATATTGGTTGATTACGTTATAAGAAGGCAGTTCTTTTCCTTCTGCTAGCAAATTGACTTAGTAGTGAATATGTCAACTAATTGTTGCTAGTGGCATTAAGAAAATTTTTTTCAGAATTTCTGGTTAATGTTTTTGCATTAGTAAAAGACACAGAAGGAAGAGTCCTTGTCAGTAATCTTTTTTCTAGACATGGCTCTATCTTGGGATATATTTTCTGTTTATTATGTGAAAAAGCCTAATATATATAAATCCTAATACGGAGTGAATTCTTGACATAAAAACTGAAAGATACTATGTATTTGTTGATTTCACTGAGATGCTGAATTCAGCTACCTTGGGATTGTCACAATTCAAGGCTTCATTTAAATTATCTTATAACAATTTCTTACTACTACAACCAGTGAAGTTGAGATATTTCTCTTGTTATAGCTTAAAACTTTCTGAGTAAAACATAAGGAATGTAATAATGCCATAACATAGAGTAACACTGGGGATAAAAAGAATGGGCATTAAGATAATCCATTGGAAGCTTTCCATCCGACAGACTTTATTCTGAACACTTGACAACAATTATTTCATTTAATCCTCACAATTACCCTGAGAAGTAAACTACATTTACTCCAGAACATATGTTCTATTTTCCTTGGTATCAAGCTGTTGCTAGAAAATGGTGGCCTTAAAGGAGCTACATTTCCCAGGCTCCCTTGCAGCTGGGACTTGCGATGTATTTTAGTCAATGCTATGTGAATTGAATTGATGAGGTACCTTTCTGGCTCCGACCCACAAAAACCTTGCACATGGTGCTGCATCACGACTTTTTTCCACTTCCAGGTGACTGACCTGAAAAATAAATTTTGGGATTGGCAAACCCAACAACATCCTGTATTTGTGAATGACAGCAAGAGGGGAGAGCATCCTTGGCAACTTTCTAATAGACTTTAAGTTATTTTACAAGAGCAGGAAATGAGCTTGTATTGAGTAAGGAATAATGTACTATTGTTTGTGGCTTTTTACATATTTTTTTTCTGTATAGGACATAGCCATCCTCTAATTGAGGGCATGGAAACTGAAATGTGTGTGTGCATGCACATAGAAGCCTGCATGTGTGTCTGAATATCTGCCTCTATGTGAGAATGCACATTCCTAGTTGGATTTTGGTACTGAGGTAGTATTAGAATACAATAATTAAATACTTTTTAAATGTTTCCTTTGTTCTGGATCCCTTTAAGTGGCCATGGGGCTTATTATTTTCAGAATATTTTGTGGAAATCTCATATGAAATGGCCTGCTGATAATTTTATTTCTATTTGTAACCATTGTTCTATTTAGATTTAATATCTTTTGGAAGGTTGATGTTGATGTTTTATTTTTTCATAGTGCTCAGTGATTGCAAAAAAATTGTCTAGATGTGAACATAAGAGTCTCATATGATGGGTTTCTGTGTGTGGTTAGACATTATCTTTGAAAATAAACGGGGTTTTTTTGTTGTTGTTTCTTCTGTTCTGGGGGTGGGTTAGGTTGTCTCATAATTTATTAGTTCTATCACTTTTTGTTTTGCTATTCATTAATGTCAGTGTTTACATTTGTTAAATTCAGATCATTCAACTTTTCCAAACCCTATTGATAATTTTTAGTGTCTTGAATTTGATTTTTTTGATAATACACATATATACAGCTTTTATCTTCTCTTAAAAACCCTTTTATCTATATCTCATCTACATTTACACATAACTTTTTAAAGTACCCTATTTCAGTTTGGGTTTGCTTTTTGATATGACAAGGTCTTTAAAAGAGTTTTATTTGTTTCTTTTCTTATAGCATGGTATCATCATCATCATTTTATATTAATCTCAAGTTTTATTACACTGTTTTCCATAGTATTCCAATACTATTAAAATCAGTGAAGTTATCTTCTTATCAATGCTAATGGGTACTAAAGTGATTCAAATGTTTCCTTTGGGAGTGTTAAAGTGTTCTACATTTGTTTGTGTTTTTTCTTTTCTTAAAATTGGTATCTCTAATTCTGTCCCACTATTTAATGTAGGATAATGCATTATTGGTCAGAGTAGTAGTCAGACAGGATTGAGAAATCCACCATTTTTTTATTGCATTTTAGATTTTGGCGTACATATGAAGAACATGCAAGATTGTTGCATAGGCACACATGTGGCAGTGTGATCTGCTGCCTTCCTCCCCATCACCCACATCTAGCACTTCTCCCCATGCTATCTATCCCCAACTCCCCACCCCCCACTGTCCCTCCCCTATTTCCCCCCAAGAGACCCCAGTGTGTAGTGCTCCCCTCCCTGTGTCCATGTGTTCTCATTGTTCAACACCCGCCTATGAGTGAGAACATGCGGTGTTTGATCTTCTGCTCTTGTGTCAGTTTGCTGAGAATGATGGTTTCCAGGTTCATACATGTCCCTACAAAGGACATGACCTCATCGTTTTTTATGGCTGCATAATATTCCATGGTGTGTATGTGCCACATTTTCCCTGTCCAGTCTATCATCGATGGGCATTTGGGTTGTTTCCAGGTCTTTGCTATTGCAAACAGTGCTGCAATGAACATTCGTGTGCACGTGTCCTTATAGTAGAACGATTTATAATCCTTTGGATATATACCCAGTAACAGGATTGCTGGGTCAAATGGAATTTCTATTTCTAGGTCCTTGAGGAATTGCCACACTGTCTTCCACAATGGTTGAACTAATTTACACTCCCACAGGGGATATCACCACAGATTCCACAGAAATTCAAACCATCATCAGAGATCAATACAAACAGCTCTATGTACATAGGCTAGTAAACCTGGAAGAAATGGATAAATTCCTGACACTTGCCTCCTCCCAAGCCTAAACCAGGAAAAGCCGAAACCCTGAACAGACCCATAACAAGGTCTGAAGTTGAGGCAGCAATTAAGAGCTTACCACCCAAAAAAAGCCCAGGACCAGACGGGTTCACAGCCGAATTCTACCAGACATACAAAGAGGAGCTGGTACCATTCCTTCTGAAACTATTCCAAACAATCCAAAAAGAGGGAATCCTTCCCAAATCATTTTATGAGACCAACATCCTGATACGAAAACCCAGCAGAGATGCAACAAGAAAAGAAAACATCAGGCCAATATCCGTGATGAAAGTAGATGCAAATATCTTCAATAAAATACTGGCAAGCTGATTGCAACAGCACATCAAAAAGCTAATCCACCATGATCAAGTAGGCTTCATTGCGGGGTTGCAAGTCTGGTTCAACATACGCAAGTCTATAAGCGTAATTCACCACATAAACAGAACCAAAGACAAAAACCACATGATTATCTCAATTGATGCAGAGAAGGCCTTTGACAAAATTCAACAGCCCTTTATGCTAAAAACCCTCAATAAGCTAGGTATTTACGGAACTTATCTCAAAATAATAAAAGCTATTTACGAAAAACCAACAGCCAATATCATACTGAATGGGCAAAAACTGGAAGCATTCCCTTTGAAATCGGGCACTAGACGAGGATGCTCTCTCTCACCACTCCTATTCAATATAGTACTGGAAGTTCTAGCCAGAGTAATCAGGCAAGAAAAAGAAATAAAGGGTATTCAAATAGGAAAGGAGGAAGTCAAATTGTCTCTATTTGCAGATGACATGATTGTATATCTAGAAGACCCCATCGTCTCAGCCCAAAATCTCCTGAAACTGATTAGCAACTTCAGCAAAGTCTCAGGATACAAAATCAATGTGCAAAAATCACAAGCATTCCTATACACCAATAACAGACTTAAAGAGAGCCATATCAAGAATGAACTTCCATTCACAATTGCCACAAAGAGAATAAAATACCTAGGAATACAACTAACAAGGAACGTAAAGGACCTCTTCAAGGAGAACTACAAGCCACTGCTCAACGAAATAAGAGAGGACACAAACAGATGGAAAAACATTCCATGTTCCTGGTTAGGAAGAATCAATATCGTGAAAATGGCCATACTGCCCAAAGTAATTTACAGATTCAACGCTATCCCCATCAAGCTACCAATGACATTCTTCACAGAAATGGAAAAAAACACCTTAAACTTCATATGGAAACAAAAGACAGCCCACATAGCCAAGTCAATTCTGAGCAAAAAAAAAAACAAAGTGGGAGGCATCACACTACCAGACCTCAAACTATACTACAAGGCTACCATAATCAAAACAGCATGGTACTGGTACCAAAACAGAGATATAGACCAATGGAACAGAACAGAGGCCTCGGAGGCAACACAACATATCTACAACCATCTGATCTTTGACAAACCTGACAAAAACAAGCAATGGGGAAAGGATTCCCTGTTTAATAAATGGTGTTGAGAAAACTGGCTAGCCATGTGCAGAAAGCAGAAACTGAACCCCTTCCTGACACCTTACATTAAAATTAACTCCAGATGGATTAAAGACTTAAACATAAGACCTAACACCATAAAAACCCTAGAAGAAAATCTAGGCAAAACCATTGAGGACATAGGCGTAGGCAAGGACTTCATGACCAAAACACCAAAAGCATTGGCAACAAAAGCCAAAAGAGACAAATGGGACCTAATCAAACTCCACAGCTTCTGCATGGCAAAAGAAACAGTCATTAGAGTGAATCAGCAACCAACAGAATGGGAAAAAATTTTTGCAGTTTACCCATCTGCAGTTTACAAAAGAAGACATGTATGAGGCCAACAAGCATATGAAAAAATGCTCATCATCACTGGTCATTAGAGAAATGCAAATCAAAACTACATTGAGATACCATCTCATGCCAGTTAGAACGGCGATCATTAAAAAATCTGGAAACAACAGATGCTGGAGAGGATGTGGAGAAATAGGAACACTTTTACACTGTTGGTGGGAATCCACCATTTATGTAGACAAAACACTCACTTCTCTGAAGCTTAATTTCTCTATCTACTAAATCATGATATAATATCACTTTATAATACAGTTATATATATTTGGGGACTATATTGTATAGCTGTTTTCTATGGTCGTATTTTATAAACACATTGTACCACTCTTTTGTGAGTATATATTGTATATGATAGGCACTCAATGTGATTTAGATATTATCTCCTGTAACCTATTCAAATTGAATATCCCAAACTTTTCTCTATTTCATTCTGTCCTGATTTCAGCCTGAGGTCGAAAGTGACATCCTTCTCTATTCAGGTGTCGGTGCTAAGAGGGTATACCCAGCCTGCCAGTGGATTAAAAACTTTTTTTTTTTACCCAGGAATAAATGTTGCATATTTTGTGACAAAGGATAATGGTCACAAGATCCATGTCTTGACATAAATTAAAATGCCTTGATTAAGATATCAAAATGTAAATCACCCACAAAATAAATAATTCAGTACCCAAAGGTATATATTTCAAATAAGATTCCAAAATTTGTTATGTCTAATCTGACCACAGGCTTGCTGGCAGAATCAGAACTTTTCCTAGCAAGTATCAGTTTGTCATTGAAGAAGACAGACACACCCTGAATAACCCGAGATGTTTAAAAAATACCAATGCCCAAGTAATTCTTAGATGCCCCAGGATTGAGAATCATTGAAATAGTGTTTCATTTATTCTGAGCAAAACTCAATGAGGTCATTATCATATCCGGTTTTCAGATGACAGAAGTGAAAGTCAGAGGAGACAGCATTGTTCAAAGTCATATAAACTGCTGGCTTAAGGCTGAGAGTTAAACTCCAGGAATTTACTCTACAACCTCTCAAGTGGAAGGTCCTTCCCATATTCTAGAAGCATATTGAGAAATAACTTAGGAATGAATTACTATCTGAAAGGTGAAACAAGTGCAGAATAAACTAGAAGACAAAAGTAGAAAGGCATTTTTAAAATAAAAGCAAACAGGGACTTGAAAGGTTGCAATTATTGAATACAGATCAGAGAGACATTCCAGTATACTAAAAAATTAATGGGTATATTTCTTCAGCCACCAAAAATTATAGCCACAGAAATCAACTTTGTGCCTATCTCAGTACATTCAAAGAGAGGATCCACTGGCTCTCCAGGTTCACATAAAAGAGATAGACATAGTCAAGGATACAGGAAAATGTTGCCAGCTTATTTTAATCTTTTGAATAGTGTAATTAACAGGAAAAAATTATGATATATTAATAATTTTTTCTTCATATATACAATGTAATTCATATCCAATACTAATTTATTTCAAGTCTGTTGGATCCTTTAGGTGGTATATAATGCTTGCTCTTCTTGGAAATTGCACTATTTTTTATCAGTGTATAAATTATCTTTCTGGTTTACATCAGGATTTTTTTACTTTTTTTATTGAGTGTCTACCTAGACCCTCATAATTAACCAAATCTTGTTTTATTTCTCTTTGTAACAATATTCTGAAACCTTCTCTTCCTTTTATGTCATATAATTGATATTAATACAGCATAGTGACAGCATTTTAACTTTTCTGTCATAAGTGTATTACATAAGCCTGAACAGACTGAATAATATTCATTCGCATTAACCCAATGTAATGAAATCATTACTTTTTTCACCTAATGAAAATGATAAATATATTAATTAAACCAAAGACTCGTTGTTGGTGAGGATGCAGTGAAATGGGCACTCATAAGCTTTTAGAGGCAGTGCGCAATGTTAGACTTTCTCTAGAAATGATTTTGGCTGGAGGTATGATAGATTTTAAATAGAGTTTCTACCCTTTTAACCCCATAATTCTTCTTCTAGAATAAAGTATTACATTTCTGCCATTAACTTAAATGTAAATACTGTAATCAGAAAGACAGACATGATAGCTATAATTATGAATACATATGAGTATATATATATATAAGCACATATATGAGTGTGTGTATACTCACATAAGGAAGTATAAGTAAGTGTAAGTATATATTATAAGTATAAGTAAATATAAGTATTTATAAATATACTGAGTGTAGTAAGTATATATACACTCAGTATATACACTTATACTTACTGATGTAAGTACATATACATTTATATGTATTCTATTACAATGATATAATTGTTATAAAATATAATACTGTATAATATATAGTATGCATAAGTATGTTATTGCATATATAGTAACATATATCCTATAGTTGCATATATACTGCACATATATATACCTATATATGTATATAAATAAGTATGGATATAGGTACAATATACATATACAGTATTAGATCTATAAAACCCAGCAATGTGCCAGTAACCTCTCTGGGGGCTTAAGGGTCTTCATTTGTGCAAAATTGGTTTAAAATCCAAATGACGCAAAAAAACTGTAAAAGATATCTAAATTGGTAAATATCACACCATGATGTGATTATCCAAAATAAATAAGATGAAAGAGAAGCAATTAGCATAGAAATAGAGGACAATGAAGTTCAATCTTACTTTTGAGTTTACTTATCTTCTTACAAGTAAATAAGCTACAGTTAGCAGAGAATACAAAATTACTTACACGATTGTAAAAAGACTATGTTCTAAACTTCTCTTATTTTTTTGTATGGGGGGGCATACTTAATTCAGCCCTGAAATTTGCAGATAAAGAAATAACTCTCAGTGACTAGGATACTTACATCAAGTTACTTACCTGAGGTTCCATAGCTAATAAATAGAAGAGCCAGGCCTAAAATGTAGTTCTCCAGATTATATATGTGGTGGAATTTATTTTTGTTTAAATATTTTTTCCCTGTATGTGTGTCTTTGCACATTTCTTTACATTTTGTACATTGCAAGTGAAATTGTATTTCCTGTTGTTTAACAATTGTGTTCATTTTGGACATTTATATGCAAT